CCACTGCATTACATGACCATCATGAACAGCAGAGTCTGCAAGAACTTCATCCTCTTCTGTTGGGTAGCAGCACTGATCATCCTTCTCCCACCACTTAGTCTAGGTTTGGGCCTGGAGTTCTGTGATTCAAACATCATCGATCATTTTTGTTGTGATGCATCTCCTATCATGAAGATCTCTTGCTCTGACACATGGTTGATAGAGCAGATGATTATAGTGTGTGCAGTGTTGACATTAATCATCACACTCATGTGTGTAGTTATTTCCTACAAGTATATCATCAGGACCATTCTACAGTTTTCCTCTGCCCAGCAAAGGAAAAAGGCCTTTTCTACTTGTTCTTCCCACATGATTGTTGTTTCCATTACTTATGGTAGCTGCATCTTCATTTATGTCAAACCTTCAGCCAAGGATGAGGTGACTATTAATAAAGGGATTTCACTCCTTATTACTTCTATCTCACCAATGTTGAATCCCTTTATTTACACACTGAGAAACAAGCAAGTGAAGCAAGCTTTTCATGACTCAATTAAAAAAATTGCATTCCTCTCAAAGATGTAAGGAGAAATGAGTCAATGAATTCAACGGAAAGGGAGGGTGAATATGCACAAAACCTGAAGCTTCTAATACTATTTGTCTCTGTATCATTAATTCTCCAGTCACACTGACTCTTTCACTTTCTTTTTAAACTTGCTAACTGTGAGCCCTATTCCAATTTTTACTCTCCAAATTATGAGGATATTTACTCTTACTGTCTGTAAGAAACTAATGGTTGTCAAACATGCTGGTTGATATCCTTAGAAACACAGAAGACCACATTTTTCTGCCATACTTCTACACTCTTAGGTGTGACTAGGTAGCCTGTGTTATAGTTAACAGAATGGCTGCGGAAGTGATGTGCGCCATTTCTAGACCTGGCCTATAAAACATACAGTATGTGATTCCCCATCCATCCCTTTTCCCCACTTGTCAGACAGATGCCAATGTATAAAGGACTTTGTAAGCTTCACATTGGTGATGAATGAGGTTGATTTTCCACCTCTGCTTTAAGTCTTCAATCAAAGCACAGGCAGTCACAGCAAGCTTGATAAATCTTTTCCTCTGCCCCACCTCCACTCAGTTGTCACCAGATTTGACAGGTAAAGTATCACAGAAGTATCCCCAGTACTTAGTAAGGAGAACCATATGCACAGCAAGGTCTATTTTGGTTAAATGAGTGAAATTATGACCCAACTTAAAGTATCATTAGAAATATGTACTGCTAAATTTAATGGTATGGATATTGTCTTGACTATTGGCCTCCTTGAACACTCTTAAACTCAAATCTACCCCCAAAACAACCATATGAGGAAAACAGTATTAAAAATAACATACACAAAGTTGTGAAGTTTTAATACTTCCCACCCCTCTTTCACATCTCCTGGTCCTATTACCTCCCCAGCAAAGTGCCTGTATTACTTCCTCTCATATTTACTGTGAGGGGGCAATCATTTAAATAAAATTCTAGCCTTTCAATGTTTGTCAAGCACTTTATTTTTAATGACCAGTGTTTAAATTGCCTTTTCCCTTTTTCAAGGAGTCCTATACATTGAGGGCATTATGGAATATATATGTCTATGTAATATTTTGTTTTTCTTGACCTTTTATGTACGTTGGTAGAAGTAACGTAATTGTGTCAGAAGAAATATATTCACGATGCCCTACAAGGGATTGTGCAAGTAGATGTTGCCCTTCAATCACTTGCAGAGACCATAAGCTTAACAGAGGGAGTAAATTTAGCCCCCTGTACAAAAATTTACCATTCTAAGTCACAATCTTCACTACATTTGAAACATTTACAAGCTAGGAGAAGTTAAATAAATCTGAATGAGCATTTTAAGATGTGCATGTGGAGCTAAAGTAGCTTTCACACACCTTACAATTGATATTTTACTCTAAATTGTTTAGGGACATCCTGATATTTGATCTCTTTTTCACCTTTCTCTTCAAAAGCATGTTCCTCTGAAAGTCTGTCTTTAATTAATTCCTTTCAAAGAGATTTCATAGGTCATGTCTTCTTCCTGCTACCACATACTCTGCCTCCTGAGTCCTAGCTCACAACTTGTACCAACACCACTGAGGCCACACTGTCACTGCTCTGCACCCCACATCTTGGGACCTCAGATGCTGCTATGACTAGACTGTCATTACTCTTGACCAGCCCTCTGAGGCACTGCTGCACCCTCCCTGGATATGGAATCACTGCACCCACCTAGATGGTACCCTCACAGTCATTTGGAGGAGCAAGTCTTTTCCCACCAAAGGCAGTTTGAAAAGGTTCCAAGAGGCAGCTGATCCCTCAGATTTGTAGATATCAGTGCAAAGCCACTAGAAACATGAAAAGGCAAAGACATAGGACACCATCAAAGGAGCATAGTAATTTTCCAGTAACTGAGACCATAGTATAGATAATAGTTAATAATACTGTATTATATATTTAAAATGGGCTGAGAAGAGATCTTAAGCATTCTCATCACACACACACAAAATTAACTATATAAGGTGATGGATGTGTTAATTAGCTCGATTGTGGTAACCATCNGGACACCATCAAAGGAGCATAGTAATTTTCCAGTAACTGAGACCATAGTATAGATAATAGTTAATAATACTGTATTATATATTTAAAATGGGCTGAGAAGAGATCTTAAGCATTCTCATCACACACACACAAAATTAACTATATAAGGTGATGGATGTGTTAATTAGCTCGATTGTGGTAACCATCTACTATACATATGTGTATTAAATCATCAAGTTATGCACTTTAAATATATATAATTTAATTGCCAATGATTCCTAATAAATCAGGGAAAAAAGAGACACTTGTATACAAAAGATAATCAATTACTTAATTATTAAAATAGAAATAGAAAGGCCCATGGGATATAAAAAAAAGAATCATAAATACCTGGGTGGTATTTCTAAAAACTATCAAAATAGTTATCAATATGCCTTTCCTTTCATTAAAAGATTCTTCTTTCTTATAATCTGAATATATTTACTCCAAGCATTAATTACACATTTTGCAGGATTAATAAATCAGAAAAACTATCCTTATCATCTTACAAATACTTAACACGATGTTGAAATAAAAGAAAAGAAAGTTGCCTTTTGCCTTGCAATCTAGTACTTATTAGTGTAGACCTGGTCTACCTCTGATGTTAACATTATCTGTATGTGTGTCTCTTAGCTCATTTTCCCAGTTCTAATTTTCCCCCCTCTATAATTCCAGTTTTACATTAGAGATTTATTAGTAATGTTTAGGACAGAACTCCCAAGGACATGATTGTTTCTTTCATTTAACTGAAAACTGGGTCAATTTTATCAATTTAGAAAAAGTTCCCTCTGCTAGAAATATCAGAATCTCAATTTTTCCAAAACCGAGATCTTTATCTACCCATTTAAACTATTATAATCTTTGTAGTTAACAGGGGAAAGAAATATTTCCTCTTCCTCATGAGGAGGTAGTCTTTCTGCTGAAAAAGTGTTCCTTTTTTGTGGATGGGGAAACACTTAGTAAGCTCTTTGTGTGAGTCTATATTCAGAGAATGAACAATCAGAGCCCACATACCTGTCTCCACTATCAGACATTCCTGGATGACTTTTTTCACCCTTTGCAACTTTGGGGTTCAGTAAACATCTGAGGTCATGACTATCAGAAAAGTATTTTTTATCATTTTATTCTCCTTTTTTGAAGTCTCAAATAATGCCTTTCTCTGAGGAAACTGTCCATAACAAAATATATGATAATACTATTTTAATATTTTATGAAAGGTTTCAACAACCGTTTATGATGTGTGCCTTTCAACGTGAGTGACAAATATATGACAGTCATGACAACCTATTTTTATGTATCAATACAATGAACATTGTCTATAGATCATAAAATTTGGGGCAACCCTCTTAAGCATCTTCTACCACAATCTCACCCTCATTTTAAACAAACTATGCCTAAAATGTGTAAATTTTATCTCCATTGAGAGACTTCTTTACTGATGTTTTATCAGTGGGTGACCTTGCCCTCTAATTCACATTTTCATGTAAACTCAATTTTTAATCTCTATATCAATGTCAATATAATGAAAGTGTTCTTAATATTGTGAAATATTAACAGCTGGGAGAAAATGGTGGTATTTTATGAAGAATAGATATCATTCGTAGTACATGCAGGCTGAACGAGGTGACTTGGAAGGAGCTATATATTTGGAATTGTGGTGACAGGAACTGAGGGAATATTTCTAGGGTACAGAGACAATTCCTTTCTATACCACCATTGGAAATGCCGTGTTATCCCCATGTCCCTTCACCTGGTATTGAAGTGCCAAGGTTAACTTTTAGACAAACTGTGACCTGTTCATTCTCTCATTTTGCTTTTCTATATTCTTTACGCTACACTATAGGACTAGGTACAAAGTGGGAACTGATATCTGCCCTTGCTAATTATGAAGAAAGAAACTATTTAAAGGAACCAAGTGAAATTCCATGTAACCATATAATTGGTACCTCTAAAGCAAACTACCTCTTAATTCAACAATGTTGGAAAATGACAAAGTATGCAGTGATCGAAGATAGGAAATATTGAGTTAGCTGCTATGTAAGGAATAAGATCAGAGAAACCCCAAATATATAATACTTATTGACCCAAACAAAAAATTTCAAATAATCGAATCACTATGTTGTACATCTAAAACTGAT